GGATTCTAAGGCTCATAATACCCAATCCTACCTTATATACAATACCTTACTCTATAAAGGGAAATCTTTCTACTAAATATTTTCGATATGCCTCGTCAAAATTCATGTCATTTGCCACCAGCCATATGAGTTCCTGCGTCATTGTCGTACCTAATCAATAAAATACGTAAATTCAATTAATATTTCTGACAATTTCACGAAATTGTAAAATTTTGATTCACGCTTAAGTTTGATCACTTTTAACAACTGCATTATTTCCAATATTTCGTATTTCTTTTGAAATTTTTTTCTGTTCTTAGATTACGTTAATACAAGTTTCTTTCAATGCTAATGATGATGAGCGTCGATGATTCACGCAATTTTTATCATAATGCCATTAAAATTATTATTTTTTAACAATTTAAAATAAAGAAATTTTTTAAAATTATATTTTTAGCTATTATTAAAGAAATATAATCGAAAATCAAAGTGATATAACGATATCGGACTTCCTTCATTATTTTGATTTATGATTCATGTATGAGGTTCTCTTGACATCTAGCAAAGCGATTATGTAAAAATTGAATTTTTTGTTAAATAAAATAAAGAAATTGCCAAAACCGACCGATAGATCTACAAAAATACCTATTGTTTTCTCGGAAACAAAATTAACGTTGTACTTTATCAATACTGATAAAAATTAGGGCTGATGATTTGCATCGACATCCGAACTTCGAAGCTTCAAAGATTCGAAGTTTTGGCATTAATATCTTCGAATTCTTTCTAAGCTTCGAAGTTTAACGTGCCTTCTAAGCTTCAAAGTTTTAAAATTTTGAAAAATACATTTGTGCAAATGATAAATTTATTTAGAAAAATTTACAAATATTGTAAATAAAAAAAATTAATATATATACGAAATTATTCCTAAAAAATTTGAAAGTATTATAACCTGAAATGTTACATATTAATAATTGAACTGGATACATGTGTAAATAAAGAAAGATAATGATCAATGAAACGATCTAATTAAGAAAATGCAAATTTTTAATGTATTTTTCAAAACTTCGAAACTAACAGTTCAAAAATAAAACTTAATATTGCGATTTCTTGTACAACAAGCAATTGATGTAATAATAATAATACACAATTTGTGCAAAGTTTTTATAATGTTCTAGATAATATAAAAAATTATTTCTTTTACCATATGTATTTTTATTCTGATTTTGATTATGATTATAATTTTATTATGAAAAGATAAGATAAAGTCATGTGCAAGTCGTTTTGGATAAGAAAACAATTTCCGGACGTTTATGTTTCAATATAAATTTTGATAACAAAATAGATTACGAATTATAATGTTTTTATCACGTTTTTATAATGTCTTGATCCCATTTTGTGCTCTATTATATACAATTGGTTCTTCACATCTGTTTGCAAATAGAAGCTTTAAAATTTTTATTATAAAATTTGTATTTAACAAATATATCGCGCATTTCCCCTTTTTGAAAATTGAAAAAGTAAAGAGAATCACAATACATGATAACACCTGGACATTATATGTCCAATAGTGTAGTGAAAATAATTTACCTGATCTAGGGTAGGTGACGATCCATGTATCGTCCGGACGAATTTCAAATTCGTATATAGCACCACCATCCTCAGCATATCTGTATGGTAGGAACCATTTTTTCTGACCGACTTTAATGAAGCCGCGCTTGTGAAATGGATACCTATTTGTTAATGCGGCTGCTAGCTCACCCTCAACGCGTTCCACTTTTAGATTCTTAAAAGACATGCTTCGCGATCAACAGCCTTTACCTCCACAAAATCAATTGTAACGTTTGGAATCTCGATCATGTGTGTTCACGTCCAGTATCACGTCAATTTTAAGAAGCAAAGATTTCATGAAGATATATATACGCAAGAATTTTTCTGAATCTACCACTGAATCTACAGTGTGTTTACAGACATGTGAAGAATTATATAACATGTTTGTCAGATTCATATCTAATATCTAGTATCGTTATCATTTCTTGCAACACGTCAAAAAATAAATGTATCTAGTTCGATTTTTTATTTAGTGATTAAATTATGATTTAAGTTTAACTTGATGATAATATAAAATAGTATTTTGCTATCAGTGATTATAATCATTAAACTGATAGTTTTATAGGAATAATTTTAAAATTACAACCAGAAAATCGTCAGTTTAATGATTAATCACAGATAGCAAAATGCAACTGTTATATCGTAATCAGATAAGATTTGTTTTTAAGTACCTAAACCAGAAAATGGAAAATTATACAGGCCTTGGTGATAAAATAAATATAGAGTATTATCCAAATCTATATTTGTAGAAAGTTTAAAATAAAAGTATTATGTATATACGCGCGATTTATGATTTATTAATTAGAGATGCCATATGTGAAATGTCTATAGCGATCGTGGCGCAGAGAGTTGTATGTCTGTAGCGATTGTGGCGCAGAGAGTTATACGTCTGTTTTCTGTGCCAAAAGCTCAAGTTTCATATCCAATCAGAAACATATGGTATTTATTTTTATTCGATCACTATCTCTCAAAAGGCAATGGCAAATCACCGAGGGTATATCTTGCCATGGAAACACCTTTAATTAGGTCTTTCGGAACCAGCGTTAAAATTGTAGGTATCAAAAAAAAATTATTTTCTGTGGATGATGACACAAAACTTGTTCTCTATTGTTACACTGGATTGCACTAATATAAAAGGTTATTTTTCACTTTTGCATAGCTAAATATATACATATATATGTATATACATATATATATATATATATATATATATATATATAAAATTTCTGAGAGATGACTGATTCGCTTCACATGGAATAGCCCATATATATATTTTTTTAATTGTAAATACAAGTATACATTATTTTAGCTACAAATAATAACCAATAAATCTTTAATAATTAATACGAGAGAGAGAGAGAGAGAGAGAGAGAAAGATGTGCATGTTTATGCACTTTTTAATATTTTTAAGAAAAATTAATATATTGTAGTTTATATTATTTATCTTGCAAACTTAAGGCAATGCTGGAAGGTCGGAAAAATGCACGAGGTCGATAAAGTAGACTCTTCAGTGTCAGTGGTATCTCTAAATAAACTTCTTACAATATCTTCTGGTCTCACTCAAACACCTGACTCTTATACACATCTCTGAGCGGGCTGGC